ATATATCAACCCAAACTGTCTCCCAACTTTAAAGCCTCAAAAATGGGCAAATCATGAGAATGACGGTATATTGATTTATCTGTTTAAGCAGTTGACAGTGCTTACTGAAGCAAATTTTGTATCACATAAAAACATGCTTCAAAGAGTTGTAACCCATAGTGACAGCCATGTTCCCCCGCCATATGCTCCAGTGAACAGTGAACAAGATGATATTGTTTTGTTTAGCCCAGTTTCAGTTAATATAAACTACTTTAAAATCATATATTTGGAGAGGTGTATCTTTTTATTTGGTGGGATGTATACTAACAAAAACCTTCACTGGGTTTCTGTCTTCACAATTTGATGTAGTTGGTATATATTTGAGATAAGATTATGATAGTAATAATTAGAAATGCTCATGGCTATCTAAAAGTATCTTTGATTGCATTCCTTCTCTTCCTCAGTTTATCTATTGCTGATTATATAATGGGATTATGTCATCTAAAGTACCAAAGAAGTTAGAAAATAAGCACTAAAAATAAAATGAGCAAGCTTAGTGTTAACTCTCTGTCTACTTATGACCCTTTCAAACTGAGAGAAACCTCCATCTGCTGGAGGTCGCACTCAATTGCAGATGCAGATTCATCTCTTGCTGTTTCCTCACAACACCACTGACAGCCACTCTATGGTGTAAGTGTCTGCACAGACCCCCACCACAATCCTTTCCCAGCTGCCCATCAACATTATCTCTGCAGTGGGCCAATTAGTCATCATCTGCCTTGTTTTGTTGGGCTCACACAGTCAGACGTCCTCTGATTCAATAAATGATTTAAATAATGGGCCTGTAATCATAGATGCTGATAATTCTGAGTCTTATTTGATCTCTCAAATCAATTCAGTCTGCTGAAAATACACCACAACTGCCTATCAAATAAAATGATCACATAATATGCAAAGGACATAAAATCCTGCTTTAGAGTTTGGGAACTCATTTAAAATTTTACATGTTTCGTTAGACACAACAAAATCTTTTAACATAACTTGCCAGTCCAGACTAACATTGTCACTGAAGCCTTTGACTCTCGGTCTGAAAGTTGGTAAGATGTAGGACAATATGCTGAGGGTACTAGACAATGTTGTTTTCTAAAAAAGTTAAAGCAGTGATCTGATGGGAAGCTTGTCATTGATTTAATTCTTCAAAAATAGTACTCTAGTACTGTATCACTATAGTACTCTGTAGTACTCGACTTTACTTGAAAAGTACTTCACTAAGTGAAAAGTAGCCAACAGTGCAGCACCACTGGCTGGATAAAAAAAAGCAAGCAAACATGTTTCCCACATAAAAACAAATATCGACAGCTCAGTTTTTATTATTAATGTTCATGCTTTACTTATTGTCAATAGACAAAATTAGTAACAGAAAGCAAGACATGAAATATTCCTAAATTGCTGCCCAGCAATCACCCAATACATCCTTTATATTTCACAAACAAAGCCCCAACTAATTGCTCAAAGTTACAAAGATAATTTTTGCTGACATATTGGTTTATAGTTTGATATGAAAGATGGTTTTGTTACATTGTAATCCTAAACTTAACAGTATATCATTTATGTGTATAATTTATGCTGAAAGCAAAAAAGTTACTGAAAAAAAATAAATAAATCCATATCCTTATCAACCATCAATCTGTTTTCGGAATAGTTGTATCTGTTTGTATGACTGTGTCCATGTGAGTGTGTCACACAGGCACACACTTTCACTCACACTTGCTGACCTTAACTCCAAAGTAGAGAGCCAAAGCTCTTAAAGGTTTAAAACTGATGGTGTGGATACTCTCATCTCCTGTTCGCTGTGTCAAGTCATTATAGTGCACCAACTCATTAGCTGATGGCGTAGTCATCCATTACAGCTAAGAGGGAATATAGCAAAGGCGAGGCAGAGATGATTCAACTTCAAGATGTCCAGATCATGTGAAGGACAATTTTCCTTTGTATTCCTTTGGTGCTCAATATATCTGTTATGCTGAAAAACCTTGACTAATTCTAAGTATCACCCAATGATGCTAGCATAAATGTAAGCGGTTTGACTTTAGTTGGATTATTGAATTTCTAACCCAATTTACTTTGGCAGATCTGACAATGACAAAATATTTTTGACCATGAGCTACAATTGCAAAAAATCAAGCAACAGTGTATCAATCAAAGAAAAGTTGAAACAGAAAATATCACTCATTCACTCTAACATTTTTAATTTTTTTTTATTATTTTTTTTGGGTTTCTATTAAAGTACATCAGTGCAACAGCTGTTTTTTGTACTGTATTTTGTATTGTGAAGCCGCTGGTGGTGGATTCAGTATTTAAGGTTAAGTTATTGAGTGCCAGACAGGGTCAGAACAAAGTACAGGGCTGTTATGTAATTGTGGTTCATTGTTATAATTACTGTAATCAAATCGAGAGCCAAACTCCCACCCCATTTTCAAGCAACTTATGTTCCACTAGATACAACCAGATAAGGTATTTTAATGTATCTGTCTTTCTAAAAAGCTTTGAAATTACTTAAGATCATTACCATTAACAACATGCATGTTATCCTGTTGATTCATTTATTTATTTTATTTCATTTATTTATATCATGCATTTCATACAACTTGTACAACTTATGCCGGTCAAAGAAGCTAACAAAGAATAAAAGGAAAATGAAGAAAATATGTATAGTTTTGAAAGTATATAGTATGTAAGTTGAATATTTAGACATTTTTGTATTGTTGGAACCTTTGGACCCTATTATATCTAGGACATTTACTATGCATAGTCTATACTCGTGGAAACATTTCTGATGTGCTGCATACAAAAGCCTTTGGCAATACAATGGTATGGGTGAACCCGCTCTGCATTACTTATGTAATCCAAAAGATATCTGCACATGTGTAGTGATAAGAGTACCGCAACAACAAAAATCTACACCGAATCTTAGCCTCTGATCCATTATTTATCATTAAAGCTCAGTAAGATAAACATAGTGATGATCTGCGTAACAGACAGCAGCTTAAAATGTCTGTAGTATAACAGAAAGACAGAAAGGCCTTCAATATTGTTGCAGTAATGAGTATACCACTGGGTAGGGACTCTTTTTGTTTGATAAGATACACTTAAAACTGTCTAACCACTAAAAGCCTTGTCTTGGTAAGCCAGCCATTCTACAGCTAATGCTACTGCCATCCTACCTGCTCATACACAAACAACAACATTACAGTAATTGACTGCCAAAGCAGAACAAATAAAGAGACATAGTGACATGGTAAACAGCTGTGGAAACATGACACAAACCACCTGAGCTTTTGCTTTTACTCACTTTAGCCCTATAGACTTTTACATGACCCGAGTTCTGAAGTAATGGGAATGAAATTTCAAAATATTTTCAACTTGTCATGTAAAGGGTCTTTGAGTATCTTGGCCCTCCAAAAAAAAAAAAGTATTATTATTATTATTAGATTTAGAACTGGACAACGTTCACTGACAGCAGCGATTCAGATTACAAATGTTAAAAAATGATGAGTCTTATTTCTCAAGGAGGAAAAAGCATCCTTTACAAAAGAAAAGCAATAGTTATTGTTGTTTACAATTACGACATATTGGGAGTGTCTATTTTTGTTGTCTTTTTTTTAATACATATATATTTTTGGCTC